AGGAATGACTCAGGAAAAGTCATTTATTATGTCAATCACACAGGCTTGTCATTCATGAGGTATGGCCTTCAAACCAGGAAATAGAAGTGAGAGAGAGGGGAGTAACGCATTTGAAAGCTCGTATATGTCCCATGGAATAAGAGCTGTCCCACATGAGGATAGGGACCTGGGGCTTTAAAGGGTCAAAGCCAAGCAAATATTGGTGAAGCTATTATACCTCCTTAGACCTGAGATACAGTCAGAAATCCCATTATACTGTTCTGTAGTATTGCTCTGAGCAGATAATTAAAATTAGGAATCAAATTCAAAATAGAAAATAGAAATCTTCATGGCTCCCAACTCCAAAACATGTCCCTCTACTTTTAAAAAAGTATTATTAATTGTATTACCACCCTCCTACTCACCCAAAGTTTAAAAGCTCTGAGCAACATTTGAACCATTCCTCTCCCCTGGTCTCCTTGCTAAAATGTCAACTCCTAACAATTCTATCTCCTAATATATTTTCCATATGCATCCCTTCCTCCTTTCTCATTTCTGCCGCCTTAGTTTAGGCCCTCATTATCTCTAGCCTGAAACAATTTCCTCAGTGTCTCTCCTGTTCCCATACATCCTACACAGTGCTGCCAGATTAACTTCCTGAAGGATAGCTCTAAATCCATCACCATGTGCTAAAAATTAGTCAATGGTTCTTCCACAGTCTTCGATCTAAAGTGCAAACTCCTTAGCCAAGAATTTTAATTTAAAGGGCCTTAGTGATCTGAACACAACCTACCTCTTCAGTCTTATATCCCATATGCATTGTCACATACTTTAAAATAGAACATGAACTGTTGGCTATTTTAAAGGACTCTGCCTATTCCTTCTGCCTGAAATGTCCCTCCCCCTCCATTTCTGCCTATCCAAATCCTTCATTCTCCAAGACCAGTTAAGACCCATTTCCCTTTAGAACCTTTCCATGGCTTCCTAGGCCAGTGCAATCTATCCTGTAAACTCCTGTAACATTTTATCTATATGACTCTCACAGAACCTATCATATATTAGACATTGAATTAGAGTTCATTTTGTATATATCCTATACCTCTTACAAGAATATGAACTCTTTAAAGTTAGAGACTATTTTATTCATTACGGGTGCCCCATATTATATAGCATAAGGGTTCTAAACCTAGGATCCATAGGCCCCAGGAGTCCATCTACAGGATTCAGGGGGCCTTGGATGGTGAACCTGGACGGAAAAATTCTTTTTCACTAACCTCTAATTGAAAATTTGCACTTCCTTAAATTGTGGATGCAGGCAACAAACCAGAAAATATTCATAGTATTTGTGATACTGTACCCAATAGAATTACAGTATATTTTTATATCACACTGTACTGGTTAGTGATATCTCAAAATATCTTTTGTGTTTATCACTACTTTAAAATTTTGATATTTTGAGTCCCTTCATTAGATCTTGTTGTTTGATGTATTAGTAAAGCAGCATTTTCTACCATATCACAAAATTTTAGAATTATTTAATATTTTAATGTAACTCATTTTCTCTGTAATTCTGTGGATTTTACTTTGTGCATTTAAACTAAGAAATAACCTGTAGTCTTCACCGACTACCAAGGAAATCCATGGCCAAAAAAATGGTAAGAATCCCTCGGTTCTACTACCACCTTGCAAAATAAAAAGAAAACTTGTAGAAAAATAATCATGATACTATGTAGTTCTTGGTTAGGGCTATTAAAAAAACATATATGATGAACTATGAAATATTGTATAAGCATATTGTTCATAAAAATTCATAGAGCTTTGGTATTAGAAAAAGACCAATCTTCTGTCCCCTAGCCCTATTAAAATGGCAATTAAGATTGCCACACACCTCCAAGGACAATTTATTATCTTCCAAAGAAGATTATTCCATACATGGACAGGTACAACTGTGACACAGTTAATTTTGTTATAAATGATAATCTGGTTCCTTGCAACTTCTTGTTACTGATCTTCATTCAATCCCTATGGAACTACATAGAATAAACCCAATCCTTCCTCCACATGACTTTACTGTTTAAAGACAACCATCGGGGCGCCTGGCTGGCTCAGCCGGTTAAGCGGCTGCCTTCGGCTCAGGTCATGATCCCAGGGTCCTGGGATCGAGCCCCGCATCAGGCTTCCTGCTCAGCAGGGAGCCTGCTTCTTCCTCTCCCTCTGCCTGCCTCTCTGCCTACTTGTTCTCTCTCTCTGTGTCAAATAAATAAATAAAATCTTAAATAAATAATAAATAAATAAATAAAAATAAAGACAACCACCATGTCATCCTTCATCTATTTTCTCTGGGATTAATATTACTAGTTAATTCAACTATTCCTCCTCTTATTATATAATTTTATGTCTGTTATCATGTCAACTGCTCTCCTCTGAGACTATCCCAATGTTTTTTAGTCCCTCTTAAAGTGTGGTAATTCTCAACTCAACACCATAATTCAGATGCATTGTATTGAGCAGGGAGTTCAATGGGACTACCAACTTCGGAATGCTACATACTGTAATTCCAGTAATGCTGACTGAGACAGCACTACCAAATTTTTGGCAATATTCATCATGCTGACCCCAGTGTACTTTCTTTAAAACTCATTAAGTTGTTGTTTTTTTTAATTCATGCGTCTGCTATTTGAATTTCCTTCAGTAATTATTTGTGCAGCTAGGAGTTTTGGTCACAATCTCTGGACTTAACAATAAGATCTATTAAATTTAATCTTGATGGGTTAGTTTTAAGTTCATATTTTCAGTTTATCAAAACCGTTTGAGTTTTGTTTCTTTCATAGGTTTTATTCAGTGTTCCTCCTAGATTTGTAGACTCTGCAAGTTTGATGAGCATACTTTTATCACTTCATATTTATACTTAATATATTATATACATTAATACACACTAAAAAAAGCCTGAAATTCTGATGCCTAAAATATATATATTACAGAAAACAAAGTTCAGTGAAGTACATAAAAACATTATTTGATAGTAGGAATATAGTGATAAAGTACTCTTAAATGAGAAGTCTCATCTTGCAAGTGCCTCTCTTGTATCAAATCTTTAGCACACAATAATAAAGAGGAAGAACAGAAAACTAACCATGACTTGCAAGAGAAAAATTATTTTAAATTTCCTAGGAGTTCACACTGGAAAAAAAAATCACAAATCAGTTTCTTTATTTTTGCATGAAAGAGCTCTCTAAAGAATTTTGAAAACCACTTTCTTATAGAACTAAACCATCTTTTTTTGTAAATCATAATTAAAATAATCTAGCAATATCACTTATTCAGATTATTGATCTGACAGCTTCATTTATTCTAGTTTCCAAGTAGGGGAAAATAAAGTGTCTGAGCAGCCAGAAGTCCACAAACAAAAGATCATGTATATTACCCAGAATCTCTCAGCAACTCACCCAGACATATATGTTTATATTTTACTTATCATCCAGGGGTTGTGATCATCTATTTTCATAATTTATAAATGAAAAAGAAACAAATTAGAAATTATTCTCAACAATGCAAAGAGTAACAGCCTGCAATCTGATATTGAAGGAAGAGAACCCAACATACACACAGGCGCACACACGCGCGCGCGCGCACCAAAAGATACCTATATCAAGCAGACACAAGAACTCAAAAGTCTCATAATTGCAGAGAAATAACCATAAAGCCAAATAGTCCTAATTATCTCTATGATCTCTGGGGGCATCATTACGTTATAGCCTGATAAAATAATTGACATTTATAATATGATAATCATCACAGTACCCCAAATTTATGTAGTTTACTGCTCATATGAGACTTATACATTCATTATTATAGTTAATTCTCAAAATGTTTGAGTTACCCAGTCAAGTATTAGTGCCACACCAAATTTTAAATTTTGTGGCTCAGGGAAACTGAAGAACTTACCCAGGGTCACTTAACTATTAGACAGGTATTGGAGTTCACAGTCTACTGCACCATGACCCTGCATCATCAAAAAATATTTACATTTTTGTGCCATATCATCTGATTGGTAAGTCAGGGAGGTGTGTGATACATTTTAGAAACTTCCTTTTGTGCTGATGTGGACATATCCACAGAAATTAATTTGAAACTTTTAAACTTTTAAGCCCTTATAGGAATAAAATTAAGTTACATGAAAAATTCCCTTATATCCCCATTTCTCTACAGTGCCACAGAACTCTAAATTTCACTTACAGTGTTAGCAATAAATCCAGAACCATTAACTACCCTACATTTCAAAGTCTAAAATCTGCACATAAAGAACGAAAGAACATATATAGTACAGTAATCACTTAGACTTGATTTATTTAATTTAAAAATATTATTAGAGTTCTCTCTCATGTTTTTTAGGACCTAGGTGAACCTAAGTGAACCTAAGAACATCTCCTGAGAGAGTAGAGAAGGTGGATGTGGGATGATGCAATAGATGTCATGTGTCACAGCACTTCCCTCTTGAGCATTTAGCTTTGACAAATTAGAAACCTCAACTCTCAATTCTACAACATTTGGAGGTTAAAGAATAATATTTATAAATTTGTAATATTTATAAAAAAATAAGGAGAAATAAATTAGTTTTGTTCTTATTTTTGTTTTATTTTCTTTTCTTTTTAAACAGTTGATGTTTTCACAATAAAACACTATCCATCAAAAGGAAATAAGGGAGAAAAAATGAAAAACAAAGTTGCAGCTGCAAAAGTTCCCATACTACACCTTTTTCCAGGGTAAAGTTTGCAGTCTGTTTAAAACCTTGATTTGTTATCATAAGAATACAATAAAATGCACAAAGTTTTAGAAAAATGGAGCTATCTGCTTAATACTCTCAATGGATCACAATCGGCCATCACCATGGTAACCTCTGAATAACTTTTTCCTAGCTAGTGCCAATTATGCACTGCTTTGGCCCTTGAAATCCCACTCAGTTTTTTTAAAGGCCTGGAATCTTTGAAAGAATAAAGCCCAACAGTTAAGTTCACACATACCCTCTTGTTCAGTCCGAGTCATTTCCTCAAGCTTCTTCTGTTTCAGTGTGTCCACCACATCGGCAAGGCTCCCTTTGCGGCGTTCTGGGGTTCCAAAAGTAACACTGCTCATTATCTCGCGGTCCCGACTCCCTTCGTCAGGCTTATGTGGTGAGGTAGAGGTATTTCGGAAGGAATACAGGGAACATAACTTATTATTCTCTGACTCCTAGAAAAACAAAATAAAATAAAACCATTAGAACATTTGTTTCTTTGCATACCGTTGGAGAAAAATCCCAAACTCAGAATAACAGCATAGGAGGCTTAGATGGGCAAAAAATATGAACCATCTCTGCTTTAAAAATACTAAACATTAAAGAAGCAGTTATTTAAAAAACTCTCCTGCAATTGAAGATTAAAACTGTTTATTTTTTTTTTAATTAGAAACCAACCTAAGTGTTTCAAACCCTTAATTTTAAAATGGACACTTTGACTTCTTATTCATTTACAACCTTCATTTAAAATAGTTCGGATTCAATTATTAAGATTGGCAAAGTTTTTCTTTTAATTGGCACTTTCGTTAAATGCTCTTCCCACAGCCTAAAAAATATGTACGTCACAGTAACATTATCCTTGAATTTAGAAATAGAGAAATTAGCTTCAATATCCAATGTTAATTATTCAACAGAAAATATATAAAATATCTAAATCAGTGCCAGAAAGTTCACCAACCTGAACATTTTTGTGTCCTGGGGTTTGAGGAGAATCATTTTTTTCCCTAGCCATACATCTTTCAAAGTTACAAAAACCTCTTTCTATTCCTTATCTTTACCACTTACACTTTAACACATAGTCACACACATTTAAAAGTGGTTTTGTTTTTATGTTTGTTGTGTGAGTGATTGTTTTTAAAAGGACAAGTCTGCTACAGAAACATCTGCACAAGAATTACTTCACAATACAGAGAAGGTAGCTAACTGGGAAGAGGGTTAGATCCATCTGTGAGGAAAAAAATGCAAAACTGAGATTGAAAATAATAAGCACCTAAAAGTTTATAGGAAGAAAATGTTTTTACAGCTCTCTAAGTCAGAACTGAGGGTTGGAAGCAACTGTTATTTAGCTACAGCCCATCAGTAATCTTACATTCACCTCATCTGTCTGGGCATGGGTATTCTCTTGCCCAATAAAACATCATATGAAATAAATAAAGCATCTGGCGTTTGTGATTCTCATCAGAAGCATGAACATCTTAACTGCTCCTATATCTCTCTCCCCCTTCACAAAGAAGCCCAGCAAGCTTCAAGAACTAGAGGAAGAAACAGGAGGCAAAAGTTATGGTAATAACTGGTGGGAAAGGGGGAGAAAAAAATAAATGGAGCCTAGACAAGTATAGGTTTCAAGATAACTGTACCCGATAAATGCTAGGCAATTAGTATTTTTGTCACTGTAGAAGATTAAATAAAACTTGTTTTCAGGGCTGTTGGGAGCATATTATGAGATAACATTTGTAAAGCACTAGGCACAGGACTGAGCTCTTAGGAGGTGGTATTTAATAAGTGGTGGGTACCATTATTCTGATGGAAGGAGCAGATCTAAGGATGGAACCAAGGCAGTTCTCTTCCCCTCTGGACCTAAGGAATTGTTTAGTAAAAAATGTTATGACTCTTAAAGTAAATTGCATACTGTGAAGCCTGAGTATATACTAAAAACCATTGAATTGTATACATTAAATGGGTAAATCGTGTGGTATGTGTACTATATCTCAATAAAGCTGTTAAAAAATATAGTAAGGCAAATCAGTCTTTTTTTTTATTCCCAGTACTAGCACAATGCTTAGCACAGAACAGATGCTCATTACATTTGTACTGAAATAAATTGAAAAGGATAAAATAAATGGAGTAGTGCAGGAAAGAGAGTTCTTCTTTACCTTGCTCCTAGATCTGCGAAAGATTTTTTATTTCATTTAATGTTTACAATAACTCTATTGAGTAATGCAGAGGAACCCCTTCTTTTAGATACCAGTCACGGTTAGTACATGACTTCTTGGGATGGTCAGTTCATTCTTTGCTTTGTGCAAATGAAAACTCAGAAATGGGGGCACCCGAGTGGCTCAGTCAGTTAAGTGTCTGCCTTTGGCTCAGGTCAAGATCTCAGGGTCCTGGGATCGAGCCCCACGTTGGGCTGCCTGCTCAGCGGGGAGTCTGCTTCTCCCTCTCCCTCTGCCCCCTGCCATGCTCTCTCTCTCTTTCATTCCCTCTCTTTCAAATAAATAAATAAATAATCTTAAAAAAAAAGAAAACACAAAAATGTGTTTTCCAAAGCCGTTTTGATCTCTTAGTAACGTCCTTATCAGAAATCTGACCTAGACTTTTCTGAACCAGTATCACCATTGGATCAATCATGCTTCCATCACTTTCATTTCAAGTGCAAACTAGTCTCATATCATAGCCTATAAATCAAAAACAAAAACAAAAAAACTCTGACTCAACCTAAGAGATTAAAGACCAAGTCAAAACAACAGTCATGTGGAAGTGGGTTACCTACAAATGAGCCACCATTGAACATACTAAAAAGGGCTTTGCCATCACTCCTAAATTGAAATAGAAATACATTAGGAATGGCTCTCCTGCCTGAGGAACAACTTTAAGTTGTCCTCAGTTGTCCTCAGAGCATTTAGGCTTCATACAGTACCATTTTTTTCTGTCAGGTCTAATTTTAAACAGTTTTATTTACTCATGTCATTTGTGAGATAGACTGCTTTGTTTGTTTGTTTGTTTGTTTTAACTTAGGGGAATGTAGCCACCGCCATCCTACATCACAGACAATCACCATGGGTTCCCACACCAATGACCCACACTGTCCTCAGTCCCATAATCTGTGCAAAGTGGCTCAACATTTCCAAAAAGCAGAGAGCAAGAAACTGAAAAGTCATGATTTTTCCAAAAAAGGGACAAGAACTACTTGCAATATGTCACCAGGCACCAACTTAGGCAGTGGATAAAATCATCAATGGCGTAAGTAATCTAAGTCATCTTATACCACTCTTAGGAACAAGGGAAAGGTGCAAATTTTACCATTTCTGGCCCTCACTTTTTAACTTTCTAAAACTTAAGGAATAATGGCCTCTCATGAATGGAGGCCTATAGGCAATTCATCTGTGTTAAGTCCAAACACTTACAACAAAGACAGTACTGTTGGATAAAAGACAGTAATACCAAATTAGAAAAAGAAACTTAACAAAGGATCTCTAGGGTTTTTTTTTTTTTAAGGAACTAGGCAATTTTTAAGTAAGTTTTCTTAAGGGAAAAAAGTTCAACTTATTATGTAATTTCCTAAAAATGAAACAGGTCCTATGAAATATCAGTTTGAGGAAAGATGCCCAATGATAATATCTGTGGTGTCTTAATGCTTGTCACCGCTGCATAGCTGTGGAGAGATTTGAGACAGTATTTCCCTAAAGCAATGGTTCTCAAACTTCAATGTTTACAATTCCCTAGCAAATATGTTAAAATGCAGATTCCCTCACCTCCCTCTATACCCCCCAAGGGTGGGGCCCAGGAATATGGAGTTTGATAAACATCCCAAGTGATTTCAATGTATAGGTCCTTTCATTCTGATGCATCCCCTTTAAGAAACATTGATCCCTATGAAAGCAATGAAATAAATGCTTTGCCTAAATGCTACAATATGGGTATAATTATGAAAATTTTTAAGAAGGCTGGTTAGTTTTAATTTAAAAAAAAATAACATAAAGGAGATTACTTCTCTTCTTTTGTTCTTGTGAAAACAACCACTGTACAACATGACTAAACAAATGAACATCACAACAAGCAAAGCATATGGGGACTGAGTTAGTATTAGTTCATTCAGAGGCAATTTACTATAAATTTATTTTCTCTCAACCCCAACCTCAGTGGCACCACCAAACCTAACAGTGAAGATAATTTTTGAAATATTATTTAAAAGGATCCCAGTCCCAATACAAGAACTAAAGCAACTTTGGTTCAGATTATCTAAAGAGCTTTTTGCTGGAAATCAATTAAATACAATACAAAATGATATGCAGGTGCCTGAAAAAGCACACAGTCGTACAAAAAAAATAGTCATTAGGCAAAGTTTCTAGAAGACACAAGCAATTTTCACAAATTAAAAACATTTAATTAAGATGTTTCCATGTTTGAAGGGGATAGAAAAGTAAATATTAAAGACAAAACATATGTGAGGTGATGGATGTCAACTAAACTTATTGTGGTTATCATTTCACAATACATATGTGTGTCAAATAATTACATTCTACACTTCAATACAATGTTATTTGTCAATTATATCTCAATAAAACTGGAAAAACATTTTAAAATAAATATTGCCCAAATCTTTCAGAGGTTGTTATTCAAAACATTGCTCAGCAGTGGCAACAGAAAGACGTTAGACTTAAATCGCCTTCTCATGGTACTGTGAATATATCAAACACACGCAAATTTTTGAGCTTTTGTGCTTCATGTTCCTTTCCTCTAGAATGTCCTACATTCTTTTTGACTATTCACTCAACCCTCTCCTCAAAGCTCAGATCAAATTGCGTTTCAACCTTGAGGTCCTATCTGACTATACTGGGCCTCACTACCCTCCTACCCCCTGAACTATACATTGAAGCACTTAATCAGAACCACACAACTTGGCACTTAATAACACTAGAATAAATTATTCATTATTATTTTACATGTATTAGTCATATTTGCAACTAAATTTTAACACTTGAAGGATTAGGGCCATGTCTCATGTTTCTTCTACATACCCCCCAGAGCACCCATCAAAATGTTAAGTACATCATCAGCTGCTGAACTTAAAACAACTACTCACCAAATATGTCAAAAATAATTTAAAAAATGAGGCTAAGAGTAAAGATTTGTTCTAATAGTGGCAGGATTGCTTATTTAAGCAAAATATTGAGAACTGAAATATTAAAAAAAATTAAGGATTCATTTAATAAAAGATGATATAGCTACACAATGGAATACCACATAGCCATTAAAAACAATATTATTTATGTTGAAAATAGAGTTGTTTATAATGATGGACAATTACGGGCAACTTACATGTCCAATTTTAGGGATCATTCTGAGGGCATTAGGGTTTCATCCAGAGGGTAGAATAATTTGAAATTATTGAAAATCCTATTTTTACAGAAAATGTAGTGACATGTGGGAATATTTATAATGTATTTTTGGTAAA